TGTTCATATATTAAATGATCATGTATGTATACATAAATATACGTAAAAAATGAAAAAATGCAATGTAAAGCATGTTGGATGACAATCAACAAATCTAATCATTAGATTACACAATGCTACTTAATCAATTAGGAAACAGAAAAATACTTAAAAGCACCAAAAATGAACATCATCTGGGACTATTGGTTTCTAATGATTTGAAAGTGAATTATCAAATAGAAGCGGCAGCAGGAAGAGTGGTAGGCTCCCTCAAAAATACTTTTAGAAGCAGAAACCTTTCTTAAAGTCTTATACACCACATATGTTAACTCATCTTGAGTTTCCTATTTAAGCGTGCTCTCTACATCTACAACAATATATATGTACGCTAGAGTGTATTCAACAAAGAGCAACAAAAAGAATCACAGAAATCAACCATAAGTCACATGAGGCGAGGTTCCTTATCCTTAGACTCGCAACTCTTAAAGAAATAAGAAATTGAAGTTCACGGTATCGAAAAAATAGAACTTGCCATACTACAGGTGTACGCGCTATCAATCATAAAATACTGCCAAATAGAGCACAACTAACAATAAACAAAGCAAGTTGTCAAAAACTGCGTAAAGAAAATTTTTTTTCACTATTCGCGTGGTAAATCCATGGAATCCATTTCCGCCTACGCAGTCTCGGTAAATACCTTCAAATATCACGTTGATGGAAAAAGATCAAATAATGGACACAGCGTGTGTCTTTAAGCTGTCAGCAGAGCAGGGCTGTGGAGTCAGAGTCGGAGTCGGAGTCGCGGAGTTGCGACAGTTTTACCGGAGTCGGAGTCGGAGTCGCTAAAAAATATCGCGACTCCGACTCCGATAGTAAAATTTCTTGGTATTGCACGTGCATGTACAAAACATTCAATTAACCTTATGTTCATACTAAACATCAAAGAATGTTTCATAAATTTGTCAAAAAAAAAATTTCAACTCACCGCGCAATATTTTTTAAAGAATTCAAAGAATTTTTCAAAAATTTTGCTTTGGAGTTGGAGTCAGAGTCGGAATTGGAGTCGGAGTTGTACTCAAAAAATTTCAACAACTGGAGTCGGAGTCGGAGTCGTTACTTTTTTTTTACGACTCCACACCCCTGCAGCAGAGTAGTGCCTGGTGTTGCGCTACTACATTAAAGTTTTATAAAATTTTTATTGGATTAAATATTTAATATAAATTTCTAATTTCTGAATAAATAAATTCAAAGTCAAATTCAATGAAAATTACAATCTCAGTTACAAATATTTATTACAAATATTATAAATAATTACGAATATTAAGAAATTGTAAAAACTTTATGTCGAGTATTACGTCTCAGAGTTTAATATAAAATGTCCGTAGTAATTTAGTTTTTACTATTAAAAAATCGGATTTAATGACAAATTGTCAGATTTAGAAACTTTTGAAAAAATTGTTAGTTGCATCACGGTCGTTTACAAGCGCTATGTTTAGGTACGCATGCGTGAGAAAATTTGAAAAACTATTGAACTTTTAAAATGGCTGCGGTTCTTAACTACATAGTATATTTTATATGGCAACCGTGTTATTTGTTATTTGATTTCTGGAAACTCTATGTAGTAGCCTTATTTTTAATGTAGATCAGTATATTATTATAAAAATTTCACAAAAATATAAATAAAAAAGGATAAAAAATATCTTAGAGTACTTAAACTTTATTTTCAATTAACAAATTTTTAGTTAAAATTATAGATTTGTATATTTATTTGAAACCAATTTTCTTAAAATTAGACAGTAGGATTTCAATAATTTTTTTTTTAAACTTCAGATAAATATGTTATATATTTATGATATTTTTCTGTTCACTGCTTCAACTTTTTTTCAATATAAAAATTTGTTTTTACTGCTATGACTATTTATAAATGTATTTACTAATATATATATATATATATATATATATATATATATATATATATATATATATATATATATATATATATACATATATATATATATATATATATACATACATACATACATACATACATACATACATACATACATACATACATACATACATACATACATACATACACACATATATGTATATGTGTGTGTAATAATACACATTATGCGTGTTTATTATTTTACACACACATATAATATATATTTGTATATATATATAAATATAAATATATATATATATATATATATATATATATATATATATATATATATATATATATATATATATATACATACATACATGCTTTTGTTACCTGAAATTTGCAAATATTTTTTTGCAGTAAAATTCTTTGGAATATTACAAATATTAGCAATTTAACTGATTTCTGGTTCTGCAGGTAAAAGTAACATAAAAAGTGTTTATTATCAAAATACAATGTTAGCAATTTAGATTTTATGTGGCTTTTTAAATATTTAATTCATCAACTTTTTTTCCATATAAAAATTTGTTTTCACTGTTATGATATTTCCTAATATATCAAAGTGCAATTTCATTAATTATTTTGTTAATTACTATTTTTCTGACTAAATATATATATATATATATAAAAAAATGAGTTTAAAATTATATTTAAATATAATTTTAAACTCGTCCACTCAAGGTGCGAATCACTTAGATCGCGAATTAAAAATTCCGAAAAAAATTCTGGTCTTTAAATTTTCAGTTTCTTAAAAAACCGTGAACTCAGTTTTTATGGATCTCAAAAATCAACTATAACTAATTTCATTGAGACTCTCATAACTTAGTTATGAGACTTTCATAACTTAGTTATGAGAGTCTTAATGAAATCAGTTTTAGTGGATTTTTAAGACCCAAAAAAACTGAGTTCACGGTTATTTAGGAAACTAAAAGTTTAAAGACCAGAAATTTTTTCGGAATTTTCAATTCGCGATCACTTAATTCGCCCCTTGCCACGAGAATACATGTATATTGTGTAGTTACACAATCTCTTTAATAAAATAAAATAAATAACTTTTTTCGGCACATGAAATTTGGTTCCACATCTTTTAACAACTTAATTATAATAATTACGTTACTTTGAAAATTTAACAAGTAATAATAATAAAAAACTACAAAATAAAAGTTATCAAAGTAACTTACAATAAGTTTGGATTACAATATATTTCCTGATAACATAGTGTAATCCGAACTCTCTACACTTACATAACACTATCTAATTACAAACATAATGTATAGTATAGTGTATAAATATTGATACATAACACTATGTTATATAAAAATGTTGTGTAATCGATTCAAAGAAGCATGTTGTATTAATTTTCAATTCGGATTCGGATCGAATCGAAAATTAATACTCGGATTCGGATTATTGAAATCACATAACTTTCATTTTATTTTAACTTGGAGTGAAATGAAAGCTTAAAAAATCAATCTTATGACATTACAATGCAGACTTACACAAATGCATTTCTCTTTGTTTTCAGTAACCTTAAGCTCAAACATCAGTGTATTTAAATTTTTTCCCGTTTTCATGCTTCACACCTTATTCATTAATTTTCTTTGAAAATAAAATTAAAAAACAAAGCAAAAGTTATGTTTAATTTTTTTAAAACATAATGCCAAAACTTTGCATAAATATTGTATTTAGCTCATTAATTTTATTTCTTTCTAAACAGTTTAATATATTTATCTTTATTGTTAATAGCGATAAAACACGTTCAATTTTTTTAACTTTTTGTTTGTTTTTATTTTTGCGCAAATATCTATGATTGTTTTCAGTTATTTTATACATGTGAGCATAAATATCACTATCCTAAACAAAATAGCCAACAATTTTAAAAAAAAAGAGGTTTTATTTTACGGTTCTTTATCACTAATTTATACAATTTATAATAAATTAAGTTAAATTGACAATTGATACAAATCTTGTATCGTTATGATTCCTCATTGATCAAATGACTTGATTAAAAAATTAAATAATGTCAAAATTCTAATCAATATTTGTATGTAACAACTGAGTTTTGCATTCACAATTCAGTATCAGAGATATGTTCACCTGACGTAATATTGATATTACGTAAGGTAACGAACTGTTATGAATTTTTTATAATCTATAAAAAAGTTCATAAGGATTAGTTTATAGATTATAAAATCTACTCAAAAAATCTATATAAATAATCTTTTTTTTTCATTTTCAGTAACCTTTGGTTGGTCTTTGTTTCCTCCAACCTTTGGTTGGTCTTTGTTTCTCATCTATATTAATAATTATTTGACCTCTAAAGTGGCTTTTTTAACTGTAAAAAAATAACAGATTTTTAACTAGCGTTCTTACTTATAAATATATATATATATATATATATATATATATATATATATATATATATATATATATATATATATATATATATATATATATATATTTATATATATATATATATATATATATATATATATATATATATATATATATATATACATTATTTTTAACTAGCAAACTTGCTACTACTCAGGTCAACTGTCATCACTTAATAAAGCCAGATACTTGCTAGACTTTCATGAAAAAATTGTTAAGTCTTTAGGTTGCACAATTTATTTATTGCTCTATTCAACATTCAAGTTTATGTTAAAAAAAAAAAAAAATCACTAAAAGTTAATTTTAAAAATTTATTCAGAACTAAATTCTTACTATTCTAAAAAATTAAAAAAGAATTTAAAAGATTGTTAAAAATTTCGGAAGACGGTAGATGTTTTCTTACGGAATTCTATTCTTACGGAAGACGGTACCTGACGAGCATTTGTTTTTAAAAGTTACGTTCTAAATGTGTTTTAAACGTCTTTTAAACGTCTTTTACATATTAATGTTTAAAAGACGTTTAAAAGACATTTAAAATACATTTAGATCGTAACTTTTAAAAACAAATGCCCGTCGGGTAGTTGTTAAATCAAGACTTTTTTGACTAACTTTATGTAGTATTAACGTATTACATACAACATATTAACGTGCAAAAAGTTTTTTTAAACAATTTTTAAACTCAAAATTTGGTTATGCATTCACTAACTTCAAATGGATATTCATCCAGGATAGCAGATTTTGATAATTTACAAACTTTTTTCTCCGTTCGATTTTTCACAAATATGTACATACATAAAAACACCGTCCACCCTAAAGCGATTAAGCAAACATATAAAAATGTGCTTCGAGCGCCATACGTAAAATATAGTTCACCTCCTATTAAACTTCCTACTATTGGAGATATGCCACTATGTAAACATTGAATAATTCCAAACATGGTTGAATGGATGCTAATTGGAGAGATAAGCTTTAAGTGGACCGATTTAACACTGAAAAAAAGCGATAAACATAACCCATGTAAAGTAAGTTGTAGCGGTATGATTAACCAAGGATTTATTAAAAAATAAAATATGAAAAATCGAACGGACCAAAGAAATGTACACATAATAATAGTATTGAATGTTCCTCGAAGTAGTTTTATGATTTTTTCGTTAAAAAAATTTACAAAGATACCCGATGTTGATCCAAACCCAACTGTTAATCCAATTAAAAAGTTTGTAGCTTTAAGTTCCTTCAAAAACAGAAAAAAGTAGTTCAAGTATATGCAATACAAAAAACCGTTTACAAAAGTTGTTATCAAAAAGAGAATAACTTCAAAGTTAGTTAATGTTTGAATCAGATCCTGTTTAAAAGAATCGGATTTTACTTCTTTTCGAGAAGGTATTATGATGCCTTTGTATAAATATTGAGAGCAAATGCATGAAGCGATTAAAAATATAATACCAACACTAAATACAGCAAAATAACATGAAATTTTAACTTTCGGAAATATATCCATCACTTCTCCTGAAATTAAGGCTCCAAATGCAAAACCAATATTTACAAACATATACTGCCTCCCAAAATCTTTTCGTTTTGAAGACACGATTATTTTTTCAATGACTCCAGCATCAATATAGCTATAAATGCTTCCACTAAAGGAGGATGTGAAAAATCCCAGCGTTGCCATAACATATGTCAAAGTTGTCGTGGACACTGGAGAATAATCATCAACAATTGTCATGTTTGTAGTACTATTATTAGAAAATTTTTTCACTGATGGACATTGGTTTTTTTCTTTTTCTCCTATTTTTGAACTAACGAATGGAATCAATAATGCAAAAACCCCATATAAAATGTACAAAGTTAATAACAGAACTCGATGCGCACGAGTCTTGTCAGCTAAAACACCCCAAAAAACACTACCTACCATTAGGCCAGCGTAAGAAAAAGAAAACACATAACCGGCTTGTTTTAGGTTAAGACCAATACTTATATAAAACATGATAAAATAAGGTGATGCCGATGACCTTTCTAAACCTGTGAAAAAATAAGTTAGTTTTGCTGGAATCATCTCTTTATCTATGTAATACCATTTATCATAATCACATTTTTTAATGTTTTCTGCGCAAGTGGAATCCAATTTAACATCATCGTTCTGAAGGCTGTCGATACTCTTAGAAGTCATTTTATTTATAGTCTACTTTATTTTCTTATAACAAATATATATATATATATATATATATATATATATATATATATATATATATATATATATATATATATATATATATATATATATATATATATATATATATATACATATATATTATTTTCAAAGTATTTATAAATGAACGTTAATTTTATTATAATTATCAAAATATCTGTTTTGAAAACATTTAAAATTTATGATAACGGCAGAATCAACTTGTTGTTTTAAACAATATTTGTGCAAACAACTAATAACTTTAATTTACAATGCAATGTTTTTTAAACACAATTTCAGCGGTGTATATGACGTTGTTTTTTTTTAATTTCAAAATAATTTAAGTTATATAACAAAAATAGTAAGAATACTTTTAATAGTTTTAATAGTTTTAAAAAGCTTATTTGCTCAACTTTAAGTACTTACTTCAAAAAAACACAATAAGGAAAAAGGCGCCTATAATGGTATGACATTTACGACGGTACTTCCATAATATTGGTTTTTGTCCGAATGTGATTAGATCTACGTGCGTATATAGCTGTTTCATTAATTTTGGTGAGAATGCGTATCTCTTGCACGAATATTGTTTTTATAATCAACAAAGTTTATTTTGGAATATAATAGCTTAGTTACCATTGTTAGTTATTCTGCTCTGTTCCGTTAATCTGTAAAATAAACGTTTTTCAACTTAAAATAAAGCGCGTTTCTTATAAAAATTAATATTATTATAGTTGTAGCCGTAAAACATACATACCATATATACATACAGTGAGCAGGGAAAACATTCTACTATAATATTTTCGGGAAATTCAGGAAAACATTCTACTATAAATATTTTATAAATATTAGTTCCGACTTTTATCCCCAATCAGTGATCTAGTCTAATTTTAAAAGAAAGTACAGTTGAGTTGAAAGTTACTCGGGTAGTTCTCTCCCAGTATTTTGCTGATCTATTATATAGTTAGTATTGTCTTGGAAGACAGTTAGGAAAATATTCATTCTTATATTACAGGCTTTTGCAAAGTGATAAATGCACGTTTAAAAATTTTTAAGTGTATATATATTTTTATGGAAATTATTTTTTTTAGTTTGAAAAAATAAAAAATATTGCGCAAAATGTTAAAATAAAATACATCATAGCAATCAATAAGTATTGGAAAAAAAAAAAAAAAAATTAATTAGTGAAAATTTTTTTCATTTATACTTAATTTAGCATATTATTATTATTATATATCAATAATTTTTCTAAGTTAGATGCTTACTTTTTATAAGTTTAAAAAATAGTATACATTATTTAATCATAAATTTTTAGAAAGGTAAGCAAAAATATTCATTATTAAAAAAAAAAAAAAACATATCATTCCAAATATTTTAATTAGATACATTCGTCTCTCCATATTGCCTTTTTCAACCATCTCCTCATATTTATAAAAAAGGCATTGCACTATTGACTATAATTATTATCAGGTGATAAAATATATTTAAGTGTTTCTTCAATAGTCATATCGGGATTAGCATTTCTTATGGATTTGGTGTTCTTTTCAATATTAAAATTGGATTTTAACATTGAAAAGAACGCTTTAATTAAGCTTAGTTCAGGGGAGTATAGTACTAAAAATTTGCGAGTAATATTTTTTTCTCTTAGCAATTAAAGTACTGCAGCTGCTTTAAGAAATTTTGCATTATCTATTATAAGAATTTTATTTGGGTTTACTGCAAAGAATGGTACTAGTTTCTTATTGATGAAATTCATAAATGATTGTGTATTGTATGCGCCACTTTTGTATTTAAAACATTTAACTCTTAAATTGGAAATGAGGCTAACATTTTGTCCTTAATTTTCAAGAACTGTCAAGTATGTTTTTGTATCTTTTGGAGAATAGCCATATGAACGCACTGTATGCTTAATGAATTCGGTTTTGTCTAAAAAAACTAAATTTGAATCTGCAATTCTAGTAACTTTTGCCGCAAAAATTAATCTCTGATTCATTATTTCTATGGTGATTCATTATTTCCATGGTGTTTCTTTCTTGAGGAATAATTGCTAATCATTTTCGTGTCAAATTTAATTTCTTTAATTTACGGGAAACAAACGAGATTGAAACGTTTTTATCATGTTCTAAAAATTATGTTTGAATTTCTTTTTGAATTGTTACTGACTACGAAGTTATATATTTTCTGTTTAATGTTTGCATTTATAAAAATTTTAATTTTATACGTTTCCTTTCTATTTACTGTAGATGGCGTGAAGGGTACATTATTACCACTATTTTTTATAACACGACTAACAGCATTTCTAGAAAATTACAAGCGTTGGATATTTCCTTGATTTAATATTTTTCATAAATTCTCATTGAAATAATCGTATTTTTAGATTCTTCTGTAGTTGTTTTCCTTTCTTTTCTTTCCATTGATATTTAAAATATTAGGGTTAAAATTAATTTTTTAAATGCACTTTATAACTTTGGAAACGTGCACTTATAACTTTGCAAAACCCTGTAGTATGGCGATCGCGTGACAAGGAGTAAATAAATTTTCGTTTATAAATGATTAATTATATTAAATATACACATGTTTGTAGTCGCATATTGTGGAGGTGGAAAGTCCAACCACTTAAATCACTTAAATATTAAGCAACTGCTTCTCTTGTTTGTAACCCACGTGATGAATAATTATCACTACAAACTTGCGTTGATATAGTATATTTGTATATTTATTTGTATATTTTAAATTTAAATTGGCAATGAGTTATGCTGGAGCTCTCGCTTCATTGTCTTTAACATCAAGTACCAAGACTAAACTTGGTATCTATAATTCAAAGCATGCCGAGGAAAATAGTTATGTTTTATGCTGCAGATATGGAGATCTAAATATTAGCGTAAATGATTTCTTGGCTGCTCTATCTGAAAAAGACCTACTAGCAAATGTATGGGGAGTTACCCAGCATTATGCTCATAAGTATTTTGAGTTCGCTATTCACAATAGCACATTAGTTTCTACATTTTTAAAAGCCGAGATTGTTATCAAAGGTTGTGTGTTGAAAATTGAACAAAAATACGTAAAAAAAAATCCACGTTTTAGTTCAAAATATACCGACTGGTCTTCTCCGAAATGGCTGCAAGGAAGCCATAAACAAACTTGGAAACCACCTAGCTCTTGGACGAGGACAATATGATACTTTCTACTGTCAAAGCGTGACAGTGCACGGAGAAGAAATTCTCACTGGAAATGTCGTGATCATTATCAAGAATTGGACAAATCCCTCCATTAATGTTTCCTCCATTAACGTTTTGAAAATGTCGACGGTCTAACGCTTAGGTATAAACACAATGGTCAACCAGAAAACAAAATAAGTGTTTCAGAAAAACCTACCATTGCTGATCCTATTCGAAATAAAAAATCAGAAGTTTCAAAAATCGCAGCAGAAACAGAAGCAAATTTATCAAATAAAGCTACCACTGAACAGCCGGAGAAAAAAGAACCAGAGGTATTGGAATTGAGTAAAGAACAAAAAAAATGTCAAAACGTTGAAGTAATACAGATTGTCTGAGACTCGACGGAAGTAACAAAACCCAAAAAAAAAAAGAGTCAAAACGATTTGGGAAAAGGTGGAACACCATCAAAGCAAGGCATTCCAAATCAATCAAAACAAACCAACGACTTTGAATTGGAAAGGCAGTTTTCGTCATAGACTCAACTGAACAAAATGAGGAACCTAATTTTGACTATGAAGATTTTGACGTATTATAACGTGCAGAAACGGAATCGTAAGAATTTTCCATTCATATTACATGTTTTTTTCTTTCTTTCTCTTTTTTCTTTACTAATTTTTTTTCTGTTCTTAAATCTGCTAAATTTTTCGATTTCTTGACGTTCTTTTCTTACAATGCATGTTCTTTTTGTAAAAAGGCGCGTAAGCTGTTTTATTTCTTTTTGTTGTAAAACGCGCTCATTGTGTAAAATGTTATGCGTCAGTGAGTCCAGCTGTTTGTATTGCAAAATTTTATAAGAAAACTCGTGCATTAATGTTAAGGTTTTTATGTTAGTTTTTTTATGTCAGGTAGTAAAAATATTATATATATGTCTAAGCAATTCGAAATAGAAAAACTGATCCTCTCCGTCATGGCATTTAATATTTAATGTGCAACAAAAATGGTCTAAACGACCAAACTAAACGCGAAATTTTTTTTGGGTTTCTCAAAAAGTCCTTATTTGAACTTATCTACCTTCAAGAAACAAAATCTGGACCTTCCACTGTCAAAAAGAATGGGCTGACGAGTCTATTTGGAACTCCGGTCCGAATCATAACTGTTGTGGGGTGGCCATTCTATCTAAATCCAACGTTTCTTTAAATGAATTAAAAAGGGACAACAACGGTAGAAGATTTCAACATGGTTGACAGCCTGCCTCTTGACACAGAAGGCACAAACAACGCTAAATATCACACCTACGGCATTGACGAACTCGAGGTCTTCCAAGGTAAGTATAACCTAATAGATGTTTTTCGTTTCAAATTCCCAAACAAAAGAGAATTCACATGGCGAAATTAGAAGGTAAAATGAAGACTCGACAGAATCCGATAAAATCGCCAAAAAAGCAACGTACACCAAAATTCTCACCATCCCTTTGCCGACCACGAGTTCCTAACAACAACCGTCAATTTTAGTAAAACTAGGAGAGGACCAAATTAAACTGTTCTCTTTTGGAAATATAAGTGCATAGGCAAAAATTGAACTCTTAATTCAAGATTGGCTAACAAAAAAACGGTCCTATGAATCAATTTTAAAATGGTGGGACAACTGCAAACTTTTTGTTAGGGTAGAATTACAACATATATCGATACAGGAAAGTGCGAAAAACAATCCTAAGGGAGCGACAAAACGCTAACCCGAATTTAGATTGCATCAAAGAAAAACGTGATGCTCTTTTCTTGCTCTAATTACCCGGAGCGTTTATTCGCACGAAAAAAAGCTAATCAAAGA